TCAGGGTCCGGTCACCTCTTCTCGTTGTGCAGCGTTTTCTGCCACACTTTTCCCTTCCCACAGACTTCCCACTGAGGTGCCTTGATACAGCACTCTGGGAACAGTCTATTCGTTCAGCAATTTCTTTCTGTCTTACCCTCTTGCTTGAGGGTGTCAATGATGGCCTTCTGGACAGCAGTCAGGTCAGCAGTCTTACCCATGATTGCAGTTTTGAGTAATGAACAAGGCTGGGAGTTTTTAAAAGCCTCAGAAATCTTTTGCAGGTGTTTAGAGTTACATCATTGATTCAGATGGTTAGGTTAATAGCTTGTTTAGAGAACCTTTTCATGACATGCTAATTTTTTGGGACAGGCATTTTGGGTTTTCATGAGCTGTATGCCATAATCATCAGTATTAAAACAATTAAAGACCTGAAATATTTCAGTTGGTGTGCAATGAATCTGAAATATATGAAAGTTTCATTTTTATCATTACATTATGGAAAATAATGACCTTTATCACAACATGCAAATTTTTTTGAGAAGGACCTGTATACCCATTCATACAGCACTCTACTAGATCTTTATAAAGAATAATCAGAGCTTTATCACATTCATGCACTGATGGGACACACATCAGAGGCAATGAGGGGTTCAGTGTCTTGCCCAGAGACACTTCGACATATGACTGCTGGTGGATTCAAACCCCCAACACTTGCACTGGAGGACTACTGCTCTAACCACTCATCCACAGCTGCCCCATGTCTCTTCCTCTGTGCTGCTATGTACTAGGAATGTAGTTCATTGTTATGGTCTACCTACATGGTACTCACCCGGTAAGTACTGGGTATAAAGAAGTCTGTGTAAGTACCAGTACACAGTAAGTACCAAGTACATGGGGCAGCTGTAGATGAGTGGTTAGAGCAGTCATCCTCCAATGGAAAAGTTGGGGGTTCGATTCTACCAGCAGCCACATGTTGAATTGTCCCCGGGCAAGACACTGAACCCCTCATAGCCTCTGATGTGTGCCCCATCAGTGTATGAATGTGATAATGAACTGATTAATCTTTGTATAGATCTATTAAAGTGCTGTATGAATGGGTAAATGAGGCACAGATTGTTGTGTAAAGAGCTTTGAGTACTCACCAGAGAAGCTGAAGATGGAGAAGAGATAGAGATGAAGAATTAGCTGTCCAGTGATGATGATGAAGGTGAAGAAGATGAGATTAAACCAGGGGCTTTGTCCTTCATAATAAAAGTGTGACATGACATACTTTTCCAGAACAGGCTTGTTTTGTCCATATTAAAACTTGTTCAGACCTGTAGACCCCCTCGGTGATCAGATCTTTGAACTTGTGTTAACAAACTCCTCCGCTCCTGCTGTGAGAGGACGCAGCCTCTCAGTGCAGCCAAACACTTTTTAATCCAAATCGTTGTAGAAATTTTTTGAACCATCCCTTACTGGCACTAAATGCAGTGGTTCGGTGGTTGAACCAGGTGGTTGAAAGGTCCAGCTTCGTCTCCCCCCCACCCCCCCACCCCGCTCCTCATTTACATCATCACCATATCTCTCCCTCCGTGCTGCCTGCTGCAAGATGCAGCAAGATGATCATACAGTAAAGTTGCTTCACTTTTGGTGTTGGTATCCAAAGTGATGTGTTTTTATTCTGCGATCATTAATCCACACGACCACTGCAGCTTCCATCTTAAGTAGGTGGCCGGCAACATCAGCGTAGGTACGACCGTCTTAAAGTTTGTCCAGAAGTCCCACTTTCTCTTGAGTGGTCAGCATCTTCCACTGATGTTTCGGTTCGCTGCCAGAAACTTTTGAATGCACAGAACGTTTGGGAGCTGTCCATTTGAAAAAAAAACAAAAAAAAACGCAGAGATTTGAGGGAAATGTAGTCCATCTGAGAGGAGATTACAGTACAGTGGAGGCTGAATGAAATAAAACTACAAAATGGCAGCGCCTGTCCGAATTATTATTATTTTTGTAATTCACTTTTTCACATCCGCATCATTCCTGTACAGTGATATTACTGTAGTGCCCGGAATCGTGTGTACAAATATATATATTTGTCCAATATTATGGACTGTACGTCCACAAACCACAATAGAGCGAGTCTGCAAAAGTTGAACTGCAAAGTAGCGAGGGACTACTGTACTGGGTGTATACCTGTTAAGCACCAGGTAAGAACCATGTGAGTACCCAGTACATATAGGGCTGTATGATGTATTACTACCTCATAATCTCAAATTTTTGTTTCCTGAATGAAGAATTTTTGTGTTTTATGTTTCTCAGCTGTGTGTGAGGAGCCCTGTGGAAACGGTGGTACCTGCCTAAAGCCCAATAAGTGCGCCTGCCTTCTGGGCTGGACTGGACCTCAGTGCCAAACTGGTATACACAAACCCAGTCCCACTCAGATCTACTTGTAGAAAAGAAGTATACATTTCCACCTGACTATGTGTCTTTGTTTCGTATCAGATGTGGATGAGTGCAGTGGGAGGCAGCCATGCATGCAGCAGTGTGTCAACACAGCTGGAAGTTACAGATGTGCATGCAGAGACGGCTTTAGGCTCACCGGAGACGGTCGCTCCTGTCAGAGCATCCCCTCTCCTGCTCCTCTTCCATCCTCCAACACCCAGGCAGCAGTGGGTGGTCACAGAGATCTGGGTAAATCCCAGTCTGCTTCTGGTCTGTTTGTTTTCAGGACAGAGGACAGAAACATGGCCAGCCTCGCGCTCCATTATTACTTTTGGTACGCGCTATGCCACTCTCAACTCGTACCGTGAGTAATAATGCACTGCGACTGGTACCGACTCCAGACGGATGGCTCCATGTGGTGAGACGGGGACCGTTTAAAGTTTGATAATGACTCAGTTCACAGTGAAGCAAACATCTGCCTTCAATACAACTCCCGTGCTAATACACATACTTTTCTCCCACACACTACATTAGTTTCTCTAAAATTGCTGTATTGTTGTCTCTCAACAAGAAAAAGTCAATTTTTGTTCATGCACACATCGTGTCTTAGCAACAAAATATTCCAGCCATCCTCTGTGTCTACAAACACGTTGGACTCCAGGATGTTTCTTTCAAGTCCTATTGTGTGTCGGCCTAATTGCTCTTTAGGGGATATTAAGCAACATGAAACCTCAACACTGGCTTACCTTTGCCTGATTTCTCCCAACGCTTTCCAGCTGGAAAATAAAAAAGTAAAATAAAATTAAAAGCCCAACATTCTTTGCAGGAAGTCCCACTGCCTTTCATGCCAGAGTTTAAGACTAAGATCACCTTATGTTGAGTTAGAGGCCATTTCATTCAAACTTAGAAAATAACATTATGCACAATCTCATGCAATATTGCCAGATGTCACGCTAAGAGTATGTGTTGTGCAGGACACTCGGCTACTACCACACCAAGTTTTAGCTTAATATTTGTACAGTTGACTGAGATAGAGCCATTTTTGTGCTGTCACATAGATTAGCGGTGGCGAACGTCTTAAATTGGATTGACTCCAAAAGTTGTGGATGTACATCCAGTTCTCACTTTCTAAAAGTTTAATTTAAATCTATTCAGTGGTTTGCAAGATATTTTGCTAACAGAAAGGCTGGTTTAATGCCTACGATTATTTCTAAAAATCAACACTTCACACAATGCACAGTACTCCTGTGTGTAATGTGTGCATTATGACTGACTACACTAATTTTACACAATATCAGTAAAATTGGCTGTTAAAGCCAGTTTAGTGTTTTCTAAGTTCAGTTGGCTATGGTGGCCATCTTTAATTTGATTGGGTCCAAATCAGTAAGAGACACATCCAATAATTGTTCCTGACAGTTTCAATAAAATCTGACCTGTGGTTCATTGGACATTTTGCTAAAAAAACAGACAAAGTTGATTACAAATAGTTGATGGTAAAAATTTGAACAAATAGTTTGTGTGATCTATTAGCACTCAGAATATGTGTTGAAGATCATTCTCAGTTACTACCACAACAAGAGTTAGGTCCATATTTATAGAAGTGACTGAGTGATAGCTATCTTTGTGTTTTGGTAAGTTGGTTTATTGTGGAAGTCTTCTTGATTTGGGTCCACTCTGAAATCTATCAGCTGTAGAAGTGCATCAAGAGACAGATTTCTGAAATCTTCATGAAAATGTTTGGTGCTTCATGAGATATTTTGCTAACAGACACGCACACAGAGGCAAATGTATTAAAAAACATATGACAGGGAGGTTATTGATTCATGCAATTTTAGAGAAAAAAAAATTGTATGAGTGAAAGATTGCCAAATACCTCTCCTCCAAACTCCCCTCTATTTGTCAGAGTTTGTGCAGAAAACGTGACCACAGACTGAAAACGCTCTGCTGGAAGTTCACCTCCACAACTTCATGATGAATGTCCAGGCCCGCAGACGGAACAGCAGAAACCCGACACGTTCAAACGCTGCAGAGCGATGTTTGCGCCCTGTGCTCAGGGATGCATGTTGCACCATGATGAGTTGTTCTGTTATCTGTTGGAGCCACATGTTGGAGGAACGTTGATGAATATCACAAACTTTAAATGCAGTCGACTTCGCTCTGCCAAACAGTCCTGGACCCTTCAGCTCTGACGCCGTTTTTTCTACTCCAGTTTTGGACAGAGTTTGAGTTCTCATTTCAGCTCCATCAACCCTGTCTGCTGGGGGTCACAGCCCCCCTCCCCCATTTCCCTTTAGCACCCCCTCCTCCTCTTTACACTCTTTCTCACTTATTCTAAACTCTGTTATGGAACCACATCTGGGAGAGATTGAACATATCCCAGTCTGTCTGCAGAGGTGCAACATGAGAATGTGTGTGCGTCGGTTCGGGATGTTCTCTCCAGTGGACGGAGTTAGATGTTCTGGATGTGATGCTGGTTCACAGAGGAGCTGAACTTTTGCCCATCTCTTTCAGGTTCTTTAGCCATTCCCATATGACCCCCACTCCCCACCCTCCTGTGCCCTAAATACCCTCCGTCTCCTTCCAGCGCTGCAGTCACACCAGTTTCTGCTGTAGAGATGTTGCAACTAAACTAAGAGCCCCAACACATTCAAAACCAAACAAACAGATTTATTTTTAAAAGTTTGTCTTAGTTATCACTTGATTAATACACTGAAGCAGTTCTTTTGATTATTCTCTGTGCTACTTGTTGTAGTGTTTATTAATTCAATTTCAATTCAATTCAGTAGCACCAAATCACAACAAAGTTGTCTCAGGGCACTTTACAGGAACATTCACATACATAAAAGCCAATTAGTAAAGTTCTCTATCTAAGGAATCCAGCAGACAAGTTGAATCTTGGCTTCGTTACAGTCTCCCATCCTGAGCAAGCACAGTGGTGACAGTGGAAATGAAAAACTCCCTTTTAACAGGAAGAAACCTCCATCAGAACCAGGCTCAGGACAAGCGGCCATCTGCTTTGACTGGCTGGTTGAGAGGACAGGAAGGAGAGACAGACGAACATAGAATGGTAGGTCCAGGTATAGGTCCAGGTGTATCTGAAAGACAAAAAAAAAAACACATATTAAGGATAGAAAAAATAATTACAAATACAAAACATGTTGAGCAGAGTAAGTAAAGACAGTATCAGAGTGAAAATTGTGGTCAGTTTGTCCTCCAGCAGTCTAAGCCTATAGCAGCATAACTAAGGGACAGCTCAGGAAACCCAAGCCGACCCTAACTATAGGATTTATCAAAAAAGAAAGGCTTAACGCTCCAGAATACTCAGGGGCACCTCAGGCCACGGAGGTTCACACGTACCGGATTAAACTTGAAGAAGACGCCTACAGGGCATGTCTGTGCAAAGCTCAATTTTTACGACTGCGTCCGTGTACTCGGTGTCGCACAATAAACTGCCCGGTGTTGGACTGTTTTGTGTGAGACACCAATGTATTAAATATCCCTTCTTCATCCCTGGTCTGGTTTAATGGCCTTTTCTTTTGTTTTTTCCTAGAGGCAAGCGATCTCTTCCTCCTCCTCCATTGACGCCATGACTGAAATGTGAGAAATGCTAGGTCATGCTAACATGCTAACAGTGCTCTGTTAGGAAAATATGGAACAACAAGATCTGTAATATAAGATGGAGCTAGGTTGTTGAGAGCTTTGTAGGTTATAAGTAGGATTTTGAATTCTGCTCTGGATTTGACAGGGAGCCAATGGAGAGTTAGTTATTAGTTATTAGTGCTCTTTTATCTTTGGCAGTGGATGATAATGTCTTTATTCGTGTGTACGTGTGTGTGTGTGTGTGTGTGTGTGTGTGTGTGTGTGTTTGTATTGATATTCAACTTTCTCATGAATCACTGAACAGATTTTCATAAAACTCTCAGAAAGTAATCAATGGGTCAATATCCACCAATTTTTGAGGTAACATGATTCAAGATGGCCGCCTCAGCAAAGCGATCTTCATGAACACAGAAACTGGCTTAAACAGTCACTTTTACAAATGTCAAGCTGAAATGTAATGTGATGTTAGCACACAGTAAGTTATGCTGCACTGGATCATGTGTGGGTTACGTTAGTGTGCCTCCAAACTTTGAATTTGAGGTTGGACCAAAACATCTCTGTCGTTTATTACGATGATCAAAGTCTGTCTACAACATGAACGACATGTGATGTGCATTCCTTCAAGAAATGCTAGGACTTTCACTTGAATATGTTCTCACTAGCTTTGTTTCTATTCACCTTTTATTTTCATTTTAATATATTTTTCTGCCAGTTTTATTTTCTTGTTTTTAAGAGTTTTGACATTTTTTACGTTGAGCTCCATCGACTGGGCTGAGTAGATGGTGAAAGATAATCATGACGGAGTCTCCAGAATGTCTTCCCAGTGGTCGTCGTGTGAGTCGCAGAGGCAGCGCCATCGTTTGAGTTTTGAATAACATCTGTACAACTTTTCCTCAGAATAGTCGCAAAGCTGCAGCTTGTCTCATGTTAACTTGTGCAGGAGCTCTGCTCTGACAGGAAACAACCACGGCAAGTGTCCACTTCTAAAAACTGAACATAAGAAATAATCAAATCAACCTGTTAAAATGAGCCTTCAAATAAATCATAAATGTGGGATGAGAGGTGGACACCAAAATACAGTAGAACCTCTAATTCTAAATTGAGTCCATCCCAGCAGGTAATGTGCAGAAAAATCATATTTTAATCAAAACATTCCCATTAATATGAATGTAAATGTAATTATTTAGTTTCAATGTCACACTTCTACCCTCAAAGTAAAAACACAGCCCTCACCGTAACGGTTGTTTTTAACATACAAGCCGTGTTTTGAATTATTGTGTGAAGAAACGAGCAACATCAAAATCACACATGAATTTATTTTACCTCACAAATTACAACTTTTTAAACTATCTGCTGACACACATTAAATCAGATGAAGGAGGAAGAAGAGGTCAGTTTTCAGTCGTGAGGAGGGATGCTGTCTCTCCTGCTGAGCTCTGCACTGTCCAGATACAGGACTGACAGGATTCAAGGATTTTTGTTTGAAAACGTTGCACACGTTTGTTTCTGTCTGTAACAATGCCATTGCACAGATTTATGCTGCTAATGTGCAGAACCAAGAGTTTTCTCAAGAGGATTTTCTAAAACTGACCTTTCAAAACGTGAGCACACAGGTTGTTGGTCACAAGCTCTCTGAGCTCAGTGAGGCTGCAGGTTCACACGTTTATCACAATATTCAAGTTTCACCAGAGAGCCTCCCAACAGGAGAGAGGCCTTCACTGAAAGGTTCTTCATAAATAAAGCAAAGTTGAAGTGAGCTTCTGTGGTTCTTCCACAGGAGGAGGCTTCAGCCTGGTGGAGAACATGACGGAAGAGGTGCAGAGCCTGAGGAACAGAGTGGAGCTTCTGGAGAAGGTACATGAGAAACCCCGTACAATTACACGTACTGTATTTTCCAGTGTTTAAGTCACAGTTTTTTTGCATTGATTTGCCAGTCCTGCGACTTGTACGCTGGAAAACATGGTAGATAATGATGTATAAACATATTTTTTTTGAGTAATGTAGATTTTTCTTTTTTCCTAACTCTCCCCGTCGTGTTCAGAAGTTGCAGTTGGTGTTGGCGCCATTCAGCAGCTTTTTCCCGCAGTCTGTGGATGAGGGAATTTCAGAGAAGACCTTGCTGTCCCACTCCTTCCAGCAACTAGACCGCATCGACTCCCTCAGCGAGCAAATTGGCTTTTTGGAGGAGCAACTTGGCACATGTGAGGCTGACCTTTGACCTTCTGTTGCTCTTCCAAGACCGATTAAAACTTTTTCTCCCAGGATTAAAATTTCACCTTAAAAATGTCAGAACTGAAATCCAACAACTGTTTCTAATGTAATAAAATAATTAACGATACAACTTTAAATTTAACAACATTCTGAGGCTTGTAATGTTATATTTTTGGATTATAACATAACTTAATTGTGCACTCAAACTCAGGAAACTAATGTTTTTGCACTTAAATATATAAAAAGGTCAAGATGTGAGACCTGAACTAAACATATGGAAACTAAAATATAAAAACACATTCTGTTTAAATACTTTTTTGAGGTTTTAATGTCTTGATGCAGCTGTGCTGACATTTAAAGGACTTCTTTAACAAACTTATGAAACCAGCACACTGCTCACATGAAGATCTTATGATGAGGACGGACCGAGGCGCGACCACTCGGGTCAAACCTGGAAAATATTGTCATGTGTGATCTCGTGCATTACTGCAAGATGTGTTCGTGCTCACAGCATTTGTTGAGGATGACTCCCAGCTACCACCACGTCACATTCGAGCTCAATAGCTATACATTTAACAAAGTAATCGCTCTTTGTGTGTTCTGAGAAGTGGACCACCTGTGATGACCATCCTGACTAGGGTTGACTCCCAAAGCGAACTGTTCATACAGCTGCAACCAGAGATTACTTGTTGAGACTTTTATTAAAATTCATCCAGTGGTTCATGAAATATTTTACCAACAGACAGAATTCACCTAAATAGTTAAAGGCAAAATAAATAAATAAATGTGATCGATCAGCCTTTGGAGTATGTGATGGGGAGGACTCAGCTTCAAACACAACAAAGTTGATCTGAAAATCAGTCTGACTGTATTAGTCATTTGTGTGTTACCCAAGTTTGGTTAGCTGTGGCAGCCATCTTGAACTGAATTACCTACAAATGTTAAATCAGCTGTAGACACATGTCTAATGGCTAGTTTCTGAGAGTTTCAAAGAAATCTGTCCAGTGGTTCATGAAATATTTTGCTAACAGAATGACGCAGTAAAAAATGTTTTTGCACTCTCACAGCAGCATTTATCCTGAAGTTCAGAGCGAACGCAGCGTCTGTTGCAACACTTTCCCTCTGCTTCCCTGCAGGTTCCTGTCAGAACAACTAGCAGCTGAGCTCCGGGGGTCGTCTCAGCCTCACAGCCCCCTTTCACCATTTTCACCACCTTCTTCCTCGTCAATGGTACCGACAGTCGGTCTCAGCGTTTCATCACCACTGTAGCCTCTAAATCAAACCTTGTTGGGGGTCAAAGGTCAGCATAGCCTCTTGTTTTTATTTGTTTTGTATCAGTGCAGCTATGTCTCCCTCCCAAACCCCCAGAGCTCCAGCTGTCCTGATGAGAACATCTGTATTTATCTATTTAAGTTATGAACACTTTTACTCACTGATGGTAGTTTTTACACCATGTTTTGTAACATTTTGTAATAAAAATAAAAGTCTGAGTCAAAAAAAAATCGAGTGGGCTCTGGAAACAGGACATCATTAGAGCAAGACGGTTTCCTCGACTGCAGAGGAAAAAACAAATATAGACGCTGAACTGTGACGAACTGTGGGCTGATGTATGTGTGCGTGTGTGTATGTGTGTGTGTGTGTGTGTGTGTGGGGGGGGGGGGGGGGGTTGACCTCCTCTGACTAAATCTCAAAACATCTAAATTGAGTAAAAAGTGACCTTTCAGTCGGTTTCCTCACTTTAAGGTTGCTGAAAGCAGAGGTGATGTAACTCGGCGAGATGCATGAGGCAACATTCTCCAACAAACCGCAGCATCAGTTTCAACAGTTCAACATTCATTCAAGGACAACTCATTTGCAAATCATTATGACCCTTTCTCATCCCTTTATATTTCACTCAGCTTTGTTTAATCAGTACACATAACTCATGCAGATCAGCTACAACTTGCTCCTTTTGTTATTTTTATAGCATTTTTAATTAAAGGCCTAGCATTCCATCCATCCATCCATCCATTATCTTTACCCGTTTATTCCATTTTGGGTAGGCCTAGCATTCCTTGATGCACATTTCGACTGAGCTCATCTTGTTGACCAGTGATGGAGCTGAATCCATTTCATGAGACCACAAGCTACAAACTGACTAAGTTAGAGACAGTCAGGTGTTTCCTATTGTTCATTAGCTGTGGCAGTCATTTTGAAATGGAGGACTTCAAAAGTTTATCAGTTATAGATGCGCACTGATTACTTTCTGAAAGTTTTATTAAAACATGTTTAGCTCTTCATGAGATAGCTTGCTAACAGCTTGCACTGTTCACGGCCAAGTTTAAAACAAATGTCATGTGCTGAGCGGTGCTCAAAGGTTTTATCGAGAATGACTCAAGGCTACGTCGTCAAATTTCAGCTCATCGTCCATAAAACTGACTGAGTTATGGACACGTTGTGTTTCATTAGAATATTGACCAGTTATTTTGTGTTCAGGTGAGTCCAAAAGTTAATGAATTACAGATAATTCTTACTTTTTAAAACTTTCATTAAAACCCATCCAGTGGTTCATAAGCTATTTTGCTGACAGAGAGCTGACTCCAGTAGTTAATGGCCAAGTTTAATCAACAGATCTTACAAGCTCAGTTAGCGCTCAGCTGCTCACACACACACTTCAGTGCAATATTTGTAAGAGGTTGAATTGCACACGTTTTTTTGCATTTGCTAATCTCTGGTGGCCATCTTGAAAAGTTACTAATGTGTAGATGTGCACGTAATGATAGTTTAAGTGTTCATTGAAATTTGTTCATTGATTTAGATGTTGATAACATTACAGACAACTGAACAAACACACAGTTCTCATTCTCATTTGGTACAAAACTTCTGAATTAAAGCAAGTTTAGACATGAACGTGCCCGTTCGTCTGCCTCTTTGAATCAGATTTATTTATCACTTGCTTTATGATGGTGAGCTCCTAAGTTGTCACATATGTACAGTTGGTTACAAAAGTATCAATAAACTTTGTCTAAAAATTAAAAAAAGAAGCTAACACGTTTCAAATCCCTCGTCTGATCATGTGAAGGAGGTGCTGATCTGACGAGACTAAAACTGAACTTTTAGGACGCGTTAGTTCAAACCTACCCCACTCTCATCACCCTGATGGCAACCCCCACAGTGAAGCACGGTGGTGGCAGCATCATGCTGGGAGGATGTTTTTCCATCAGCAGGGACAGGGAAACTGGTCAGAGTTAAAAGGAAGATGAATTGAGTAAAATACAGAGAAATCTTTGATGGAAACCTGTTTTGAGTGTTTCAGAGGTTTTGGGGTGGAGGTCCACCTTCCAGCAGGACCATGACCATAAACACTGACCTGGGGTCTGCAATACAAGGAGACTTTTCTTCACTTTTCTGAATTATACAGAGCTTCTTCATTTGCTTCAAGCTCAGAATATAAATAACACAACTGTTATGAAAATACACTAAATAAAAATTACAGTTTGTTATCCAACAGAGTTCAGTCAGCTCATATGGACGGTTTCTTGTTTTTGTTGAGACGTTTTGTCTTTCATCCAAAGGACTTCATCAGTCCAGAGAGCCACAAAAAAACTCAGTACTACAAACAGCACACTCACATGATGGACCACCCAGTTTGATGGTGATGATGATTTCTGGGGCCCGCCCTCTCCCCTGTCAACTCCTCTGAGGCAGCTATAGTCAACGTGGTTCAAAACATCAAAGTCCATGCTCAATAATCCAGGTAAAAAAAAATCCAAAAAAGTTCAGTCAGGTCATCTGGACCATTTCATTTTGCTGAAAATAAAATAAAACTAACTTAGATAAAATAAATAAAAAGAAACCATCTTATCACCACTTTGGGAGTGTGCTGCTTGTGGGACTCGGTTTGTTGTGGTTCCTAGGACTGATTAAGTCCTTGGGATGAAGGACGAAGCGTCTCACCAATAAAAGAAACCATCCAGATGACCTGACTGAACTTTGTTGGATTTGTTACCTGGATTATTGAGCATGAACTTTAATACAGTTCATTAGAGTTCAGAGAACCGTTCATTTAACCAGAATACAACCGTTCGCACAGGAAACACACTGTCTAATCACATTTTAATACTGAACTCTTCACATCCTTTAATTCATTTTGACATAATAATGCCACTACAGTATAGTGGATGGTTTATTTCCTGATTTTTTTTTTTCTGATAAAGGCAGAAACCACCATTTAGTCAACTTGTATTAGCATTTTATTCAAGGCAATCTGTTTATTTCCATTTCCTATTCTCAAAATGACACTTGCCACATTTCTGTAATAAAAAACAAAAACAAAAAATACTTCGTAGAACATTTCAAATTAATCTGTGCAAAAACATAATGGGTCATTTCTCCTCAGCATTTTGTTTAAACATGTTCAAAACGTTGAATTTTATGGTGGATTAATGCAGTAGCTAATAAATTATTAGCACACACTTAATGTATTAGTGTTATTCTGTCGTAATCACAAAAAAAGAAAAAATCTAAAGACAACCAAAAGATAAATACAAATTTCTTTTTTTAACAGTGTTTAAAAAAAGTTTCAGATGAAATTAGAACTTAGTGAAAAACTGTGTAAGAAAAAAAAATATTTTGATGCAAAGCATTCATTCACATATTCTCAGAACAAATGAAATGAAGACTGCTACTGGGTTCAATATGAAACCGGTACTTTACCGAGCATTTACACACACACACACACACACTCTCAGTAGGATGTCAGTGTTGCTCGCATTGCCCATCTAAAATTACACTTTGGTTCAAAAATAAATCAGAAAAATATATTTTGCATCTCCAAATTAAACACAAGTGCTTCAATAGTTTGGGGATAATTTAAATCATTTTACACGTTAGACTCTCAGAGGGGGCTGAGCCTCGACACAGAGTGGGACACAAACCATGTCTTTTTGTAATAAAATAAAATGGACAACAACAAATAAATTAATCACTCTGTAAATATTAAATCCTATTTTGGAAAGAAACAATTTGGTCAGGTGCTACGCAAACTTTTGGATACAACAGAAGTTAAATGATCTTTTACAGACTACAACAAATACAATAAATAGAACTAAACTAGCAAATAAAATGGGTTAGTTATTTAGTAGTTGAATAGCTAAGAGTGTGAATCACAAAAGCCGCCCTGACCTTCAGTATTTAAAGAATGATTAAAAGTACGGCTGCATGTGACAGCATGTGTGCACAACAGCTCAGATGAAGTTAAACGTTTGATGCATCAGATGCCAGCTTTATGAAGTACAACACGTCGTCCTCTACAGAAAGAACATCCTGCTTCACATTCTCAAACACTGTTTGAAGAAGGCAGTCAGCTAAATCAGGACCAGGATGAGGTTCAGTCAGATCCATGTGGTCAGAAGAGAGGGGAAGACGAAACAAAAACTCCTTTGATAGAAAATGTACTGAACAATCCAAAGTGCAACAGCAACAACTTAAGGCCAAAATCTTAACGCATGCGTGATGAATCTTAACCTAAATGATACAAAGTAGACTTTTTTTCTACCTTGAAATGAATAAAATCAGGAAGAAACAGTTGCTAATACATTTAAATTAGCCAACCTTTTTAGGTTTTCATTTTCTATTTGTTAAAGAAAGAGTCTGCTAATTTTTGTAGTGATGTAATCTAATAGTTATTAACAGGATCACTTGTGACATCTGTCAAAGAGCAGGAAGCATGATCAAAAGGGCAACATCTTCCTCCACACTAGGCTAACAACTAGCCAAACATTAGCTAATATTAAACCTTTAAACTTTGGCATGACACAGTTTAGTTGTTTTCTGAATGGAGCGTCACAGACCGAGTAAACATCGGAGTCAGACGGTGCTGAATGCATCACACCAGGAGAGGTGGTTGCACTTTTGATTCATCAGCATAAACCCAGTATCAGCCATTCATTGAGATGTGTTATTAGACGTGTTAAAGGTTGAAGCCACAAAGGAGCGCCTCCTAGTGGCTGGCTGCAGCACAATCTACAGGCCCTGACCTCTACAAATGGGACATTTCCTACTTTATTTTCTCCATTTGTTCATTTATCTTGATTCACATTTTCCACTGCTGTTATCAGAGGTTTAAAGTCAAGTTTTTTACTGGACTGTGACTGAACATGACAGCCTGTGGGTGAGTTGGCAGGGTGTGTGTTCAGGTGCAGACCAGATTAAAAAAACAATCCAAAAACTGACATTTTAGACCCTGTTGACAGAGCATCTCTTCAAAAATGACTAAACTACCTCCAAAGCCAAACATTTTCACGATTAATAAACTGTGTGCATTCTCTACAAAGGTTAATCAAACCTTAAATGAACTAAAGTAGAACTTTTTTTCACATTTAGAAAAATAAAATCAAAATGAAAGTGATGCTAAGTGACTGAAACAAATTTGACCTTTTTTAACCTTTTTAGGAACAGATGTTCACGTTCTATTTGGTAATAATTGGTAAACTCAATCAGCCCATCCCAGCCTCTTTTCAACGAGTCTCGTACACTGATCAACAGTCAGCGAGCAATCATTTAATCATCAGTCTTTATGGCACAAAACATTGAACTTTGGAGCTCTGATGGTGCAACAATGGTGAGACGGTGAAATCTTTCTTTTAAAGATAATTCTTTAAGAGTTCAAAGCATCAAAAACATTCGTCTGTAATTACAAAAACTGAACTGAGTCAAAAGAGACCTGCAGCTTCATGTTAAGATTCAGTCAATTCGGTTTCACAAAAAGAAATTGAAAGATTTTAGTGAAATACTGCAACAGCACACCTTTCATTTGTTGTTTCTGACATCATTAAATATTTAAATAAGCTACGGGTCCTTGAGCTGAAGAGCTGCGATGGACAGAGTTCAATACATGGTGACGAAATCAAATATGTCCACGTGTGAGCAGATCCTCGCTCCATGAAGCCTGCTCCATTTGCTTCGAGGCAAAAAGACCGAAGCAAAGACTGCACACACCAGTGATGGCCAAAATAAGAAGACGAGTGTCCCCATGTCACTAAAACTAAGGCATCATGACAGGGAAACATCAATATGCAGTGACATTAATGAACAGAAAAGAAAAAACTGCTCAAGTTAATCAGCTGAACAGAAGGCAGATGGAGATAAGAAGAGGAAAAAAGGCCAAAAAACGAAAAATAAAAAGATAAACTGGTTAGAAAGCGGAACAATAACAAAGCTTTCCAAAGCCAGAGTATAAAGCAACAGAGAAGGTGGACAGAGCCATCCAAAAGGCATGCATGGACAACACACATCCAAAGTGTTTGGCTTGCCGTCCGTCACTCCACTCGCAGTGTGCAGAGCAGCGCTGAGGGTCGGGACTGACTGTGCTGGATCAGGCCAGAGGCAGACAGGTCCAGGAGTCCACTAGACAGGATGACACTTGTTCCATGTTGCTTCCTGCCCAGGTAATGGACAACCTGGGAAAAGCAGGGAGGTTTGGAGAGGGGGAGGTCTCAGACAGGAGCAGAAAAAAAGTCTGAATATGGCAGATATTCAGTGCCTTGAGGGCCCATTGCTCTGGGTGACAGAGTTAGAGATTTCAAGGAAAGCGTCGCGCATCAGGCTGAAGGATTTGTCAGAGAGAGACGACACGTCGTCTGATGTCATCCCCTTTGTCTCAATCTTTGGAAGGATCTTTAATTTAATGGTTCCTGCAGAGACACAAACCTGACCGTCAGGAAGCTCGTGGACCATCAACTCCTGACTTTTTCACACTCAGAAATCCTGCCCACAACTTTTTACACAAAGTTTAAAACGAAGAGAAAAACAGAAGCGGGGTTACCTGATTTGAACTGTTTTTCCTTCCGAAGGTAGAAGTTGTTGTAGGAGGAGAAAACTACAGGTATGATGGGAACCTGGATAAGAGGACAGAAAGGAGCAAAAGGGTCATCCTGTCTGAGTGCGACTCAACTCAAATTGAATCTATTTAAAGATGAGAAAGAAAGAAATACATCAAATCACACAAATTCAGGACGACAGTAACAATCTACTACAATTAACAGAGGTCGAGGGTCTCTCAAGGCCCAGACGGGTTCTTCCACAAGACAGGATGAGCCAAATTCCCCCGGGGGCCGTACTGTTTCCTCTGTCTGAGTACAAATGGAGATGCTGCACTATTACTCAGCAAACAATCAGTGTCTCAGGTGTAAAAATAAAGGCCTAGCCATCCTTCAACAAATACCTTTTATGCATGATTTAGATGATTTAGATTAAGATCATCATATGTCGAGAAATTAAGTGCGTTAGCCGTTTTTGTTACACTAATCTAAATGTGTGAATGACTCAGCAATGACCACACCAAACCCTAGCTCATTATCTGCAACATGTGTTTTATCTCAGTTTTTTAAAGTCACTTGTCTGTAGCAGCCATCTTGAATCAGCTTATTTTATACACACGCACACACAGGCAAAAACAAATATCCGCCTTCACAGAACCAACAACACAACTACATGAAAAGTTTAATGCTCCCACAGGCATACACTTACAAACATGTTGGAGGCTACTTCAAATTTCAAAATGTTTTGTCATTAGAAGATGGAGAGTCTGAGACTGTGTGAAAAACTGGTCATTTATTTTCTAACAAGCTTTATCTTTGTAGTCTCCCACTTCTGATGCACATCTCAGCCAAACTGAGATCAGTCTTTTCACAGAGAGGTACGGGGAAAACAAAATCACACATGTTCAACAGTTCTCTGAACAAAGTTGTGGTTTTTAATGGATTTAAAAAATCAACGTTTTACTTTTCTAATTCATTCTACCGGTCTGAGCCTGCACGTGCGCTCTGATACATAACCAAAGAGCAGAGAATGGTGCATGCATGCAGAGATTATGATAAACACACACAGCTGAGTCAGCCCCTTTCTCTGATAAGCTGATGTCAGAAGTTCAGCAACACATTGAAAAATATAGAAAACATTTCCCAAAAGATTAAAAGAAGGAAATTTCTAAACAAAAGGGCTACACAACAACTGTATTCATTTAGATCTGTGCTGACAGCAGATGCATCACATCTGGCAGATAGCGCCCCCATGTGTCTGGATGAAGCAGAATATAAATTGTATTCATAAGTCAGAGTCAGTCAGAGTCAGTCAGAGTCAGAGTTTCTTTATTGTCATTCGCACCTCATGTGGTACATGTGGTGGAGCGAAATTATGTACACAGGGTCCCAGTTACATCCAACAATAAAATGTATAAGAAAAACAGTAATAACATCTAAGATATGAACTAAGAAAAACATCAACTAAATATACACTAAGCACTCATAACATAAAACATTGAACATCAGCACAAACATGAACATGAGTCTGTGAGCAGATGTGCACGCATGAACACATCAACATTGAAACAGATCAGCAGCAACATGAAACAGATCAGCAGCAACATGATATGGTTTTTCACAGTGATTATTCTAGTTAGAGATTCATGAGTCTAACAGCCTCAGGGTAGAAGCTGTTCCTCAGTCTAGTGGTTCTACACTTAATGCTCCTTAACCTCCTTCCTGAGGGGAGTGGGGCAAAAAGTGTGTGTGCTGGGTGAGTGGGGTCCTTCATGATGCAGGTGGCCCTCTTCCTGCATCTGGAGGTGTCAAAGGTTTGCAGGAGTTTCCTGGACTCCTGCCAGAGTTTCCTCAGCGCCATACTCAAATTTAACCAAAGAAACAGGATGAATGTGTGACAGACTGGTTGCATTCACTCAGAGAGGACAGAACACACAAAGGCAAGAACATTCAAATATTTACTCACTTGTGCCTGCACTGCCAAGTGGAAAGCACCTTTTTTGAAAGGCAGCAGGTCACCATTCTGGTTACGAGTTCCCTCTGGGAAGACCCACAGCCGGATCTACAGAGGGTGAATTGATCAAACCAAACCATCACCAGAAACCATCAATGTAAAGATGTGGTCCACCTTGACTGGACTGCTTGATTACCTGCTCATCCAGCATGGTTTTGGCAGCGTCAGCCATGACATTCTTGGCATCACTAGTCTTCTTGCGGTTGATAAAAACAATGCCTCCCAGCCAGCAGATGAGGCCCACAGTCCCAGCGTAAACCAGCTCCTTCTTGGCAATTGTGGTGCAGCGGTCAGGTAAAACCTCCATCAGACCTGAGAAACACAACAGGAAGTTTGCTCTACACGCACTAGAACACCTAAAGACACATTTTAATTCATCTCTAATGTAACAAGACAAATGAATTAATACAAACAGTAAACTTTACACTTATAAATGTGAGGTTTATTTTACAAAAAAAAAGATGAAGTTTATCTAAATCTATAAATAACAGATATATAAAGAATAGGGATGCACAATATTATCGGCATGGTACCAGTATCGGCTGATATTAGCGTTAAATATCGGCCATCGGCCATTCCATCAATATAACTCACAGATATAAAAGACGCTGTTTTTGTTTGACAACCCAGTGACAAGGATGTCTGCAGCGCCAGCACAACATGATGACGTCATGCGCGCCTACCTGATCTGATCAGGGCAGAGAAGAAGAAATTAAAATGGCAGCGATGTGGAAGTTTTTTTTTGTTGAGGATGTTGGATTCTGAAGATTTATGGACTACGTTGAGTCTCGCTACATCGTCCCCAGTCCGAGATATTTTTCCGACGTAACATTACCAGAGTTACAAGCCGTCATTTCCAACGTCATTGAGAAGATAATAGCTGATAGCACTTGGGTGAGTTTTACCACAGACATTTGGATGTCATGTTAGCCCCGTTAGCATGATTAGTCTTATGGCGCAATGGACAGACAAAAACTTTGAACTTAAAAAGGCTGTCCTTCATGCACAGGAGGGCAGAGGATCCCACACTGCAGCTATAGGAACCTGGAACAAGCCTTCACAGGTGAGACCGCATTGGATGTGACTAATGCTAATAAATAACATTCAATACTTTTCATTTAATACAAGTTAAAGTGCTGTGCATATCATATGGCTGTTACTGAATATATGTCACCAGCTCTTACAGCTGTTACACAATTTTTGTAGCAAATAAGCCTAAATAAGAGGGTTATGTTCTGACAAAGGGAAGTATATTAAAAATATCGGTATCGACCAAATAAGTTTTAACATATCAGCATATGGGATATCGGCCAAAAATCCAATATTGTGCATCCCTAATAAAGAACATATTTCTGTATGTTCTGTTAAACTGAAGGTACTTGCTTTACGTCTGTTGAAATGTATTTATTTATGAAATCTTTGATATTTTCCATTTCATCTAAATGTTACTAATCCACCACAGAATAAATATATTTTTAGGTGACAAAATATTTCACAAGGTAAAACAAAATTCAGTAAAATACAAACAAGACTTTTGTGAAAAACAATCATGAACCTGAAAATATAGTGGGTGTGTACAAAATACAGTAGTCCCTCGCTACTTCACGGTTTGACTTTCGCAGACTCGCTCTATCATGGTTTGGGGACGTACAGTTCATAAAATCCCAAAAAATGTACACGACACGTGATTGTCAACTTTACAGTAGTATTACTGTACTCGCGTGGTTGGGACAAAGTTAGTGACAAAAAATATTAATTTGGACATGCGCCACCATTTTGTAGTTTTCTTTCCATAAGGCTACACAGTATCACCAGTGCAAAAAATAACTACATTACCCACAATGCAACAGTGCACTTCTCAGAATTCAACCGTGCTTCTAGCCAGCTGCTTTCTGACAAAAAGGAAGGAAAGTTTTGATCCGATCCAAACTAAAAAGTTTGGTCCTTATTCATAGTGACTGGTGCTCAGTGACTGCAGAGAGCCGATCAGAACCCGACCAGAACCGGACCAGAACTACTTCCAGCCTCATTGATCAATCTGAGTGCTGTCGGCCCAGGGAGCCTCTCGAGCGGGGAGCGTTTATCGGAGGTCCAGTATCTTCTCCGGAGCTCACCCGGAGTTTTTCCATCAGATTTCTCTGGATTATTTGGACTTGGTGCTGGCTCTCTGAAGGTCCGGCTCTCTCCAAAAGCATCTTGGTGCTCAACGGCTACAGAGAGAGCTGATCAGAACCCGACCAGAACAAGACCAAGGCTGGTGAGTCCTCATATAATGTTTCAGTAGCTACTGTGTAGTACATATATGCATGCTGTTAAAATGACGTAGGTTGAAGAGTTTAGAACATTTCAAGGGTGTGGGAAGGGTTTTATAAATTCTTACAATATTTATAAATAATAAAATAAATAGACTGTCGCTACTTCGCGGTATTTCACTTACTGCGGGCGGGTTTGAAACCGAACTGCCGCAATAAACGAGGGACTACTGTATAGTTATCCAAATAAATTAGCAGGTTTTGAAAATTCAACAAAAAGATACTGGTGAAAACAAAAATAATCTACATTTAATGCAACCTATTGTTCTTCAAGTGCAATAAATGTAACATTTCCTTCTAAAGAATATTCATTTTCAAATAATGTGATCACAATATTGACCAAAATTACTAGAGCTGTTCCGAGCGATAGGCCACCGATCATGATTGTCTGATTTCCGTTAAAAACTATGTGATCAGCTGATACTGATCAATGCCTTTCAGTGCTGATCATAATAACCGATCATCTTTGCAGCCTGCAGAGGTCCAGTGGTATATATGTATATTTAATCAATGTTTTGAGATTTATTTGACTTCCTACACCATTAGCCTGTTGAGAGCCTCAATGTTTTCAATCTGTTTAAGATTCTGTTATTGATAGCTGGTAAATGTTTTCAGTTGTCCTTTTGACTGAATAGTTTCTGTATTGTGCCTGCAAGAATTTTATATTTGTTGTCTTGAAAAAGTAAATAAAAACATGTTTTTGTCCAAATGAAGGTGATTTTATGGTTCCTATTTTCCAGATCACGTAGCAAGTAGCTCTCATTTTAACTAAATCAAAAAATTTACAGCCAATTCATGTGATTGGTATCGGCAGCAAAACAAACAAACAAACAAAAAAAAACTCAGATAGGAGCATCCCCCTCAAATAATTGAGCAGCCCTACTCTGAGTGCAACACTGGATGAAATAAAAGTAATACACAGCATGTGTGTAAACAAATTCAGATTTTTTCCTGCAACTTTTAAGAGCACGTTTCAGGAACAAGACGTCATAAAGGACTGATAAGAGTCTCGAACGTTCAGTCATAGCACCAACAGGTCCAAAGGTCTGGAATAATCATTGACCTTTCCATTTTCTACTTCCACAGCTGTGTGATACTCTGAATTAGGACATAAGCAATAAAATGTAGTTAAATGTGAAGACAGGTTTCTTTATCGTTGGGAGTTGTTTCCAGATGTCATCAACCTCTGTGCCGTGCGCATGAGATGTTGAAGGCATAAAATGAGAGAAAGTGGGTCGGCATCAGCTAAATAAATCATAGGAAACACCAGAGAAGGTTGATCGAGTCTGAATCGAGATGAAAGAAAGAAAAAAGCAGCACAGAGTGCCAAATTTACATGAAAGAGAAGGAGTATTTAAAAATGCAGCTCCATCTGTGGAGGTGACGATTTCGCTTCCAAACAGTCTCATCCCACCAGCTCGACCAAGAGCAGCTATTAATGGCAACGTGTAGCAGTTGGCATGGCAACTTGAGATGCCAAATCAGCCTCACACAGCGTTTCCTCAGCACTAATTAGATGCCTGGCTTTTCCCCTGCTGTCACTCTCCTTGGCCCCAAGCCTGGCCTCATCACTCACCAACACTGTGAAAAACACTCAGCAGCAGTGATGGGAAGAAAACACACCGCGGCTAAATTAGTGTCTTTTACATTCAGATTTAGGAACAAGAAGATAAATGTTGAAAGGATTCAAAATGACGACAAGAGCAGAATGTGAAACAAGAGCCAGTTCTAAATCATGCTCTTTATTTAATACTGACAGCAAGCTGGCACCTTGCATGCCAAAGATTTAAATTAAAATCCTTTAATGTTGAAAAACGATGGCTTTGTAGCGGTTTTAGACACACCTTAAAACCATATTTATGTGGGCTCTTATGCAATATTTGAAATGTCAAGCTTGGTAAGTGTTGAGAATGACTCGGGTCAATTTTAGGTCAATATCTGTAAAAATGGCTGAAAAATAGCCAGTTTTGTGTTTTGTCAGATTAGTTGGCTGTGGCAGCATTCTTGAACTGGATTGATCCCAAAAGTAAACCAGTTGTAGATATATATCCAATAATTATTTCTTAAAAGTGTCATTAACATATGTCTAATGATTCATGAGATATTTTGTTAACAGACAGAATTGACTTCAAATAGTAATGGCAGCATTTCAAATAAATGGTTACATCAATGTGGCAGCATTTCGAATATGTATGAGGAATCAGTCTCAGCTACTACCACACCAAGATTTAGTTCAATATCTGTAAATTTGACAGTTATATCCATAACTGTGCTATTGAAAGTTGCTCAGCTGTGGCAGACATCTTGAATTGGGTTAAAAAGTTAGTCAGGTGTACATGCATAACCAGTCAGAGACAAAGACAGATGAATCCATTATTGCCGACCTCTTGCCTTTCGCTGGAGAGCATACTCTCTTTGGCTGCATGGCGCTTTGCTAGTCACCTTTTCTGTTTGGTTAAGTCCTGCATGTCAGCAAAATGCTGGTGGGCAGAAATATTAAATTTGTCCTAGACTTCCCATGTTGCCCTAACATACCAGGAGAGGTGGTGGTTTCTACTGTAGATCACAGAAGTTTGAAAGAGATATAAATGATAACATTTGTCCACGTCAGTCTTGGTCTGCACAGAGTTTCTGTAAAACAACTGAATGATGTGTTAAATCCTGGACGGTGAGATATTCAGCTGTCCTCGTTGTATTTTAGTCGTCTTTTCACCTGTTTAATGGCAGACTGAAAACAGACTGAAACTAACAAAGTGCATCAGATCTGACTGTTCCAGTTCTATGATGACGGCAGCAGACAGGTCTGCTCGCTCTGAGCACAAATTAAAGATTTTTATGCAGCCAAATCTACAAAACAGCTGTCCCTGAAACATTTCTTCTGGTCCCACTTTAAGTGGAGTCAAGTGTGGGGCTTGATCATGGACAATAACCAGAATATTGACAGAAATGCTTAGATGATAATAATTTTTACAACATTACTGAGGACTTATAGAAGAAAGA